GTAAAAGATCCGAGTACTTCTTCCAACACTGGTTCTAAATGTACCTTAAAGGGACCCCAAGGTAACTGTTACTGAGAGAAGTCCAGTAGTCTCTGGTGAGCGCAAACTTGTTTGTCTGTCCCAAAAACCTCCTTCACTTTAGCTTGCTCGTCTCCATCCAAGTTGTGTATCTTGGTTACAGTGGTGGCTCTCAAAGGCAGTTCATACGTGTAGTCTTACATGTAATATGTTAATCGGCATGCAAGGTGTAGCCACTCATTTAGCTATTGCTGTTATTTCTTATAGAGTTGTCCAGGCATCTTTATTGCAAAGTATCCAGCATGCTCTGCCATTGGTGAGGGGGAGGAGGGCTCTCTACATCAGCTGTGTGTTTGGTCAACAAGTGGTATTTAAGACTTGACATACTCCGATGGTAACTCAGTTCACATTGACAGTAAATGCAAATAACCTGTCAAGAGAACCATCTAAAAATATTGATTATTGCCACTACGTACAGATGTAGGCATTCAAAGTGTCACTGTGCTGCATTAAGTGGCCACTTTCATCCCGACTGCTCGTCATTTGTCCTAGTGAGGTGTCGTTCACAAACGATTCATTCATTTTGAACGAATCTTTCCCATGACTCGTGAACATTGGGTCGTCTCAGGGAGTGATTTGTTCATTTTGCATTGACAGCGCATGCGCAACATCGCATAAGATCAGTTCACCTTTCGAGTCCTTGGTTTCGAGTCGTTTGTTTTTGTAACGTGACATGACCGCTTTGTTGGATACAGAAAATAGTTCATTTTCAACCATCCTTACAGTTTTTTTACTCTTACTGTTATGTGATTTATTTTTATTATAAAATAGATTTTTATTTCCTACAAACTATAATTTTGTGAATATCTGACAATATGGTTCTTTTCCATAACACTGAATGTTTTAATAAAAAGTTGGTTAATGCTTTAAACTTCATCAGGGAGCTTTTTTTTCTTTCTTACACAGGTACGATTTTACTTATAATATGACCTTGGCTGCATTACAATTCTTTCTTATTCGAAACATGATCAGTAGATGTGTAAGTAGATGGGGAATTAACACGTAACATTTTAATTACATTCTGCTCAAGTGAACGAAATGACTCAAAAAAGATTTGTTCATTTTGCTGAATGAGATTTAAAGAACCGAATCAGTAAAATGATCCAAACTTCCCGTCACTAATTTGTCCCACAGCACGGCATGTGTTACTGTATAATGTCTGTAGGTGGCGCTCAGCCTACACTCACAGGTACAAAACCTTGTGCATAAACAAATCATAGCCCATAGGCTGTTTTATGAAAATAGCGATGCTGCAAAACATACCGCTGGTATTTTGGATGCTTGGGTTAGAGTCTGCTTTGTGTTTTGATTGACACACTGCTAGGCCTCTTGATTATGTGGGGGTGGCGCCAGCTGCTGAAAAGTGGTAGATAACTCGTGGTATCTGTATGGTGTTACCAGCTGGCTTCATGGAACCCTTGGTCCAGGACATTATTTTAAGCCCTCATCAGAAAAACAAGTGAAGACTCCTTTTTCAAATCTTGCTGCAATGAAATTACAAATACAAAGTGTGTGCTAGTGAATGAAAGGAAGTTCTCTGTGCAACATTTCAGCCAATCACCTGTCTCGATGAGCCTGCTCTGTTGAAGGTGGAGCTCAGTGCGAAGCAAAACGATTACCTGCTGATAGGTGTGATATTTAATAATTAAGTGTATTTACCACACTGGTCATTTTAATCTTTAATTTTACTTAATCTGTTTGATATTAACAAGGGAAATTCAAACCCTATACTGCTAGACAGTATAATAAGATTTGCGACATCTGGTGTCCAAAAGGAGAACTGCAAGTTGGATTTTATGAGCATGCACTGCATTACAGACATAGCGCCACCGACAGGGCACCACAAATATAAGGCAGTGAAAAAGTATGACACTTTAAATGACTACATTTGTATAAGTGAAATGCTGCAAAAAACTTAAATGTAGTTAGTACCTCAATGTGGGGGTACCGTGGCCCCTGTATTTTAAGGGAGGCAGTTTATTGTTTTATGTTAGTGAAACTACAACTATATTTTAAATATTCATCATATGGCTCTAAAATAGGAATTTGCAAAGTATTTGATCCCCTGAGACAGGGTAAAGTAGAAGTGCAAATCGGTATAAGATGGAAAAAACCTAAATAGCAAGTACTTCATAATCATATCTAAGTACCATACTTGAGTAAATGTACTTTCCTCTGACATGCTTCTGATCTAAAGGGAGAGGCACATTGATGAAGAAACGAAGCACGCTGAAGGATCTGCACTAGTAGATAATTGCTGCAATTGCAGATAATTTAATGCACACAGGTTCCTGTTCACTGCTCTGGTGATGCCTGTGTACAGAAGAGAGAATGAAAAGGACTTTTTAAGACACTGGTTTCTAATACGAGCCTGTGTCCCTCACATCCTCACTCATTTTGATCATATCAAAATGAGGCCAAGGATCCGTGAACATGTGTGTTCCAGATCATTAAAGACAGGAATGGGGAAAGATCAGAGAAAAAGAACAGAGAGAGGAGGAGTTGAAGTTGGACAGGGAGATCTGGATCCATATATCACCTTTGATCCGCGCTACTAAGTAAAGCCAGAGCTGGACTGAGAGAAAAAGACCATCTTTTGGAGAACCTCGAGGATCTTACGGAATGGAAAATCCAGCAGGGCGACCCAGTGTGCATGTGAGGAACTTTCAACATTCAGAACAGACCTCTTCTCTATTGTTGAGTATCTAATGTCAAATCATTAAAAACGCCATCTTCAATCCACAGCAGCTGTTTAAGTTTGTTCAAATTGAGCGACCTTGCACACCTCTCCCCTCGTTCAGAACAGCTCTGCGTTCTGGTACCAGCACATTCTGGGGCCCCAAGGTGCGACCTCGGTGGAAAATGAAGGAATCTGAGCTCTTTAACAGACCAGTGGTGGAAGATATGAATGACCATTGTTCAAAAACCTCCTAAACTCTGAAACGCTCCACTGACACAGCTCTGTTATTCAGAGCCCTGCTGGATTTACTCTCACGATCTGCTGTAACCAGCATTAAAACCAACAAACCACTTTTATCTTTTTTTTTCTTCCACTTACAACTTAAGACAGACATAGATCCATCTGCTTTTCTTTTTTAATTTCTTACAGTTCATCTCTGCTTCATCTTATGCTGACTAAAACACACACACACACACTTTAAAGAACACATTATGTACCCTGATGCTTCAGCATAAAAAAAACAAACATATATGTACACACATTTATGAGACAGCCTGAGTCTCCCGAGCACCAGCGCTGATTTATTGTAGAGCAGAGGCCGATAGAGAAATAGATGCCACTGTCACATAGGTGTCTGGTGGATGATTCTAATGAAAGCTACCGTAATGAAAAAGACGAACCTCTCCATTTTGAGTTTTGACAGGTGGATTTCTGCAGTGGAAGGTGCAGGGCGCTGTCAGAGCTAAATGGAGACATACTGAATATTCACAAGATTTGTTGTCTGATCTGCATTATCGCTTTTTTGTTGTTGTTTTGCATTTCATTTTTGCAAAAGCTCTTTACGTAGTTTACTACAGCACTCTGAAAAAACAGCTTCCCACGGCCACATAATACACACTGCAGAAAGGTGCCAAGACATACGAGTGAAGCTCCTTAGAGACTTTCATGTGATAGAGTAAGAGAATCAAAATTCCACTGAGCTGTATTTAATTTAAACGCTGGATTTTCAGATTATACAACCTATGTTTCCCTGTTTTCTTCAGGATTCAGCATAAAGTTGTTTTGGATTCAAGGTTTAATGAAGAAATCATCTATTCTATTTCAGACCCGTTTTCTCACTCTGAGCCCTCCTCTTGACCGTTTGTTGTGTCTGCACATGACAGTGTTGAAACATGATTTCACAATGGGGTCCCAGGGTGGAGGACTGAAATTTCCCATTTGAGTTCTAGGATAATAAAAGTTTAAGAGTCTCTGCCCTACGCCGCTGCAGTCGCACTTTCCAGCCTGTCTGGCTTTCTGGCACAACTGATATGGTCACAAGCCTCAGTGGCCGTTAAACCACAAAATGACCCACAATGGAGGAGCCACGGTTTTATCCACCAATCAGCTTGCACCGCTGTCATTTAGCACAACAAAAATACCTCAAAAACAGATGCAGTGATGTGAAATCAGCTATTGTGGATTTAATTTTCAGGACAAAGAGCTTCAAAACCGTCTCATCAGTTATTGTTGTCATCAAAGTGTTGCATGTAATGCGTCACTGATTTAGGTAGTTTTTGACTGGGAACATTAGCCTTACATCTTAAATGACATTACTAGTCTCACTTCAGTGTTACATGAAAGCATATCAGACAAAATCATCAACTGGATGTTGATTTAAAACTAAACATTATATACTACTGGTGATTTCCTTCTACTTTTGTTGAATCATATTTGATTTTAATTCATTGTAAAACATAAATACCCAGTGTACACAAAAGGATCTTCAGAACAGCATATGGATAATGTGCAATCCCCAAGACAAGTTATCCTTTTGTTAAAGTTGCACTGTGCGCACCAGCAGTCCCATCATATAGTTACATGCAAAACCTCCCAGCATACTCAAATCAGCTTCCAGTGACAGTTTAACTGTCTCTGGAAGCTGGAAGCAAAAAACAGACCCAGTGACAGACAAAAACTGACACAGATCTTCAACTATTACAGCTGTCCTCTCTGAGATACATCCTCGCTTTTGAAAAATGTCAAAGAATATTTCCAAGTAAGAAAAAAAAACCCAGCAGCAATCATTAGCAACAGGCAGGGAAGTTGTCGGGATCATAACATGTCAAATATTAATGACACCCCGTCATGTGTATAGAGCAACTCTCCCCTCTGCTCCTCCCGAGAGGCTGGAACAGACAGATAAACAGACCGCCTGGTAAAGCCGGCAGCCGTCGACTCGGTCAGAGAAAAGCTGTCTTACCTGCCTGCTTGTCTGTGTGTTTCTCTTGCGCTTCGGTCTGGGTGTATGATTGTGTATGTGCTCACACACAGTCCCTCCAAACAGGAACTGATGAATCTGCACGACTTCAGCCCTGCAGCGTGCAGTGCATTATGGGGTTTCAGTCTCTCTCTCCCCCTCTCTCTCCCTGTGCTGCGTGTGTCTCTCTCTCATTTCTTCTCTCTGTTGGCACAGTGTTAGAGGGGGATGTCCTCGCCTCCTGTCTGGAAAGAGGAGGGTGAACTCACACGCGTTATGTCCACACACACATACAATGCAGAAGAAGCCTCGGGATGACGACTGCCGCGGCTCCGGTTGCCGGGGCAAAA